TGGTGATTAAGCACCGTACTATGATAGCAGTGCAAGGATCTCATGTTGTGATTAGGATCCATGGATGCAATAGCAATGCAAGGACTCCCATTGATTATAGCTGCAGCTTGATCTAATGAATCAAATGCATTTGTAAGATTCTGAAGACCACTTTTCTATCTAAGACACAATCTGAGCCGGCCCTATCTAAGATTTAGTAGACATAGGAAATTAGGATTACAATAAAAGTAAATTCTGATAGAATTCTTGATTGTAGCTTGACCTATCAGGTCAAATACATTATAAGGAAACATCCTGTAGCTCGACCTTTTCAGGCCGGATACAGGTTTAGGTTAACAATGTTTAGAAGTTTAAGCAGCCATTGAGCCTCAATACTTCCAGAGCAACCCTATTTTATAGTATGCTACACTAACTTTTTCTTTCGTCCACATAGTAAAAACTGATATTCTCGATCCTAGGCAAAAGCTGGTGAGCACATGACAGCGAGGCATTATCCCATGTATTAACTGTCGTAAAAGTGGTATAACCTTTAAGCAGTTCTTAGTAACTAGCATTGATCTAGTAAGGTAAGTGATAGTGCTCAGCAAAATCAAACAAAACTTGATTTTCAAGTTTTGTGTATCTATCAGTTTCACAGCAGCGGGCTTTAAAATTCTAATTTATTTTTAGTAAATTTACAGATCTAGCAGGTATTTGATCTGACTTTCACTACGTACTTTAAAATCAACTATTTAAATTTTGTTTATTTAACATTTTTTATATTTTATTTTCGTTACTATTTTTTGTTAATAATGTTTAATTTCAATCCGCTTCTAATAGATAACGGTTACAGTTTCTTACAGGTAAGATCACTGCCATGTATACTTTTTTCTTTAAGTAATAGGTTGAACAGTTATACCTTTATGAAACACCCGATTCAGAGATTATAAGAGAAATATTTAAACAAGTGATATGAAAAATAAGAAAGTAAGTGTCCATTAATGTCAACTAATGCTTTTTTGACAGGCTTAGGATCTACTTGTCTGCAGGAAGGATCGGTTATGAACTTTCCCGAACTGTTTAAAAAAGTATCAATATTACATGCTTTCGATCGTGGTCCGTACTATTTATTGATGCTATTTCTACGAATCGTGAAATTTATCAATATGTTACGAAGGCTAGCATT